GGCCGCCGAGGCCGCGCGGCCGCCCTGCGCTGAGGGAGGCGGCGGGACGCAGGGCCGCCTCGGCCGTGAGGAGACCGCTGGCTGGCGGCGCGGCCCTGGCGTCTCGGTGTGGTTGTGCGCAGTAGGGCTGCGGGATTCTGCGATGCCCTCTAGAGAAGGCTTCCGTGGGCGCGTTCGGCCGGGCAGAGGCGCTTTCTCCCCGTAGTTTTCATTAGCGCGGGCTGCGCGCTGAGCGGGTTTCGTCGTGCGTGGACCTGGCCGACGGACGCGCCCGTCCCCGCGACAGTTCGGGATCTTGAGAGGTTCCGCTCGGGCCTGTCCGCTCTCCCACTAGTGCTCCTCACTCCGCTCTTCTCTTCTGGCCCTCTGGTGATCCTCTCCCTTCTACTGCCATTGCTTTTTAGATTCCAGGGAGAATAATTTGGGAGGTGAGATTTTTGTGATCCATCCGGCTTATTTTGTCGTACGTGTTGATCCTTTGTTTTTGGCAAACAACATAATTTATTTTTATTCTGTATTTTAGGGAAGGGTCTTCAGGGTTTTAGGGTCTCACTACTAGATCCGCCTATTTTCAGCCTGGCAAGAGCTGGGATTACAGGCACGGGCCGCCACACCCAGTCTCAATTGCCATCTCAGCAGGCCCTTGCGCCAGTTTGCAGGCGCTTTAATCCGCTGAGCTATTCGGCTGGCCCTAAACGACATAATCTAGTTAAAATGTTTTGTTTACTTGTTTATTGGTCTGTTCTTGAGACTGGGGCTCCCTGTGTAGCCCGCACTGGCCCCAAGGACATTCATGTTGCCCAGCCTCAGCACACGCTGCGGTCACAGAGTTCGCTGGGCCCGTAAATGACCTTGTAACGGGCCTGTGCTTTGCGTTCAGTTATACTGCTTTCCTGCTCTAACAGCGGGGTTGCGCTGTTGGAACAGGAACTATAAGGCCTTTTTATTTTTCCGTGTAAAAATGAGTTTTCTTATTTGAGGTGCAGCGTATTGCCCTTTATATTTTAAAAAAATCTGTAGAGATTTAACACAGTAAGGATTTTTGTTTGTTTATTTGAAACAGGGTCTTGATATGTACTTGAACTCACTATGTACCCCAGGCTGGCCTCACACTTGTGGCGATCTTCTTGCCTCAGCCTCCTGAGTGCTGGGCTCACGGCCAGGATTTCTAACCAGATAGCTCAGCAGTGTTAGCTTCAGCCCGTGGAACTTCTCACCTTGCAGAGCTGAACATCTGTACCCGTGAAATCCCCTGCTGTGCCCCTCTCTTGCTGCCTCCTGACAACCACTCTTTCTGGCTGCCTTGTGTGAGCAGCCTCATATAAGGGGCACCTGGCTTACCCCACTTCCTAGAACATCCCTGGGGCTCTTCTGTGCTGTAGCTGTCCTGGAAGGTCCTGCCTTTTTCATGCCTCCCTGATCTGTGCAGGGGATTGGTAAAGCCCACTTCTGGGGTCTCTGGATGGCCCCTGGAGCTGTGACCTCAGGGGGTCGTCTGTTGCTGCCCCTTCTGTCATAGTGTGTTCTGTTCTGCTCCTTGGCCGCCATGAACTTGGCAGCTCTCCACCACCACATTTGAGCCAGCCAGGAGTGAGTGCTCTGAGCCCTTGAGCCACATAAACTCTTGCCCTCTGTCCAAGTGGTGGGTGGTTTGTCCCAGTAATGAGACAAACTAGTGCCCTGGATAATACTCCACTCTGTGTGTGTAACCCTGCCTCACACATGTGTACATAGGTATACATATATGCCTCCTTGTGGTACTGAGCCATTGCACTGAGCTGCATCCCTAAGTCCTAATTATCTGATTATTGTTTTAAATCTTGAAATGGCTTGCTGAGTTGACCAGGCTGGATTTGAACTGTGGGTCCTCCTGCCTCAGCCTCCCAGAGTGCTGGGACTGTGACGCGAGGCTCTCCTTTTAGTTTTCTGAGCCATACTTTTCAGGCCCAGAGTGCACCTTGCCAGCACTTGCTGTTTGTGGTTCTCTGCCTTCGTGTTCATGCTGGTTTCCTTGGTGGTGTGAGACTGTGAGGTCTTGTTTTGATTTGCTTTCCCCAGAAATGAGTGGTGTGGAGCATGTTTCATGTACCTGTTGGTAGTTGATGCATCTTCTTTGGAGAAAGGTGGATCCAACAGGAAGTTCCTGTTGAGTTGGAACTGTTATGTGTTCTAGACATTAGGCCTCCTGAGACGTGTGGCAGTGAGTTGTCCACCTGGGTGCCTTTTTGCTCTGGCACTTGTGCCGTTGTGCATGGTAGCTCCTAATGTTGGTGTAGTTCCATTTCTGTCTCCCTCTGTTGCCTATGCTTGCGGTGGTGGTCATTGCCTGCTTTAGAGGAAATGAGGCATCACTTGTGTAATATGCAGCTCACCCCTTCCAGTGCACGGTTCAGAGGTTTTCAGTGTGGTCAGGAAGCTGTGGCCTTCCACGCTAGGGAAATCAGGACGTTTCCAGCACCCTCCAAAGAAACCTCAGCCCTGAGCTTGTGCTCGCTCATTTCAGAGGATTGTGAACATCTGTACCCGTGAAATGACCTGCTGTGCCCCTCTCTTGCTGCCTCCTGGCCACCACCTCTTGAGTGGCCCTATTCTGGCTGCTGGGCATTGGGTGAAATACAGGCTGGATCTTACTGCTTGGGTCATTTCTGGGCAATTTTTTTTTCAAAAAAAGGAAGAGAATGTGGCCAGTTTATGTTCTTTCCCGCTAGCTTTGTTGAGATACAGTTGGCAAATACTGCTTCTCACATGTGCCGTGAGCTGCTTTGCTAGTCCTAGGCACTGCGCTTCTGGAAGGAGAACCTCCTCAGGAGTCCGACAGGCATAATCCTATCAGAGACACTAACTTCTAGAAGGTGTTAGAGCACTTTGATAACATTGTACAGGGTGGTGTGTGGGGTACTAATTCTACTGTTCTTTAATTCTAGGCAAAATCTAGTCTGATAAAATATTATAGAAAAATCCTTATTAGGTCATGAAATGAAAAATAAAGGGCGGGTCAAGTAGCTCAGCGGAATAAAGCAGAGGCCCGGGGTTCAATCCCTGGGCCTGCTATGTCAGCGCCGCCCCCGAGGTGTGCTGAGCCGGCAATGGAGACTGGGCATGGGGGCGCACACCTGTAATCCCAGTTCTTGGGAGGCTGTGAACAGGGAGATCACTACGAGTCCCATCTAGTAGTGAGACCCTGAACACCATGTAGACCCTTCCCTAAAATACAAAAAAGAAAAAGAAAGAAAAATAAATAATGGCCAGAAACTTCAACTTGTTTAACTGTGTGTACTGTGTGTACCCCAGAATCTGAAGGGTGAAATGCTTGGTGAGAAACAATTCTTGATTCGGGACAGGAGAGAGCAGAGTTTCAGTAAGCATTTCAGTGGCTGTGTCCACGTCAGGCTTTGTGGTGGCTGTGGGGCTGTCACTGTGGGAAAGCAGTAAGAGCGCAGGCTGTGTGGTTCTGTCCCATAACCCTGAGTTGCAGAAGTTGGCACCAGGCGTGATGTGTCCCGGGCAGTGTCTGGAGCCCGCTGACCCCGAGTCCGGGTGTACTCGGGTCGCTGCACATCTCTGAGGTGCTGTCATGTGCATTGTTTCCTTTGCTGCTCGCGAGGGCTGGTGTTCAGGTGGGGCACATGTTACTCTGTCGCGCACACCCTGACTCAGTGTACCTGCTTTTTTTATTTTAAAGACAAACCCCAAAATTTCAAAGCAAGATAATACAGTAAGAATGGTTAATACATTGCATGTTATTATCTTTAAACTACTTTGCTAAAAAAAAACTACTCAGGGTGCGAGAGAGCATTTAAGTGTCCACATACTATTAGCACAAGCCTTCTTTTCAGTGAACTAAGAAGTGGATAGCATAACTGTCTTGTGTATGTATATATTCATTTCTTCTTGCCCCAGTTTCTTTTTAAACAGTTTGTTCCCACTCTGCAATATTTGTTGTACATCTTAGACCTTTCCTGTGTCAGCTTCTCACACGAGGGACACAATACAATGTGTACACATGTGAGTTTGATTTATTTCTTTCATGAATATAGTCTCTAGTTGCATCCGTTTACCGATAGAAGTCCTCAGTTTGACCTTCTTTAGGGCTGAGTAGTGCACCATTGAATAAACTACCACATCTTTTTTATCTGTTCCTCAGTGGATGGGCTTTTGGGTTTCCAAGATCTAGCTATTAGAAATTGGGCTGCTAGAAACATGGATGTGCATATATTGCTGTGGTATGTGGTTTTGGTTCTTCTGGGAAGATACCCGCAGGGGAATAGCTGGGTTGAATGGGACGAAGTCTCCACACTCATCACTCAGTACCTTCTGCAGTGCCAGGTTTCCATTGCAAAAGAGACATTAAGAAAGATTGCGAAGTAGAAGGAAATCTCATCCATTTCCTCAGTTTGTTACTTGTGTTCAAAATATCTGCTTTCATTTTAAGTTCTTGTTGGCAGGAAGTTGAACAGGGCTTCTTTTTGTTTGGTTTTTCTTTAGGTTTGTAAGCGTGGTGCCGGGATCCAGCACTGGTGGGTGGGGTTTGTGGATTTGCAGCGTTGTTAGGTTTATTTAGCTTGAGGTTTCTGGTAATGAGTCGCAGGCTGACTTGCTCTCCCTTGCTTGCGCCTGTTATCTGTTACCTGTAGATGCTGTTGACTGTTTGAGCGCCAGGTCGGGTCGGGATGGAGAGCTTCATCCTGTACGAGGAGATCGGCAGAGGCAGCAAGACTGTCGTATATAAAGGGCGACGGAAGGGGACCACCAGCTTCGTCGCCGTTCTTTGTACTGAGAAATGCAAGAGGCCAGAGATAACCAACTGGGTGAGTCAGGTGTGCCCCTCCACAGGGACAGGGGACAGAGGTGGTGGAGGACAGAGGCTGCAGTGGCTAGGCATCACCTGCCACATTTTCAGGCAGCAGCGAGCGCCCTCTGTTGGTTCAGCTCTGTCAGCTGAGTAGGCGACAGGTGGGTTCAGGCTGTTGGCCCCCTGTGGTTGTGTTGGGTACAAGGGGAACTGCTTGGGGTCTGCTCTGGCATTGAAGTATGAATGTGAAGTTTTCCCAGAGGATGCTGGCAAGCTTGGAGTAGCTATGTCTCTCCCCGGCCTGTGTCACCTGGGCCATGCCTAGATTTGTGATGGCCTCATTCCTGGGTGAGTGATAAGCCACCAGTTGCCAAGACTGTGGGGCCCCAGTGAGTGTGGAGGCTGGCGGCTTACAATACTTACTGGATGTCGGGCTGAGGAGCAGGTACTGCTCTCTGCACACCCGGTGCTGATATGCTTGCTCATCCCTGATGCAGGCAGAACAGCTCAGCACCGTGGAGAGGGTGTTGCTAATAGGGGCATTTGAGAGTGGGGGCCGGCATCCTGGCAAAGCATCCCGGGGTATTCCAGGGACCAGAACGGCTTGGGCCCTGGGCAGAGCCAAGCTGACGTCCAGAGCTTCATCTCTGTAGAGGGGAAGCAGTAGAGCCCACGTAGGCCTGAGGACTTACTGTGAAAGTGCACAGGGATCTGTGACAGGTGGGGTGTGGTGGTGCACGCCTGTCCCCAGCATTCAGGAAGGTTAAGGCAGGAGGAACACAAATTTGAGCCTGGCTCCAGGTATCTTAGTAACTTAGTGAGACCCTGTTTCAAAATAAAGAATTAAAGGGCTGAGGATGTAGCTCAGTGCAGAGGTCCTGGGTTCCATCCCTGGCACCTCAGGAGACAGGACTGTGTCTGCAGTTACCATTAGCATCACCCTGGTTTCCGAGTCCCTCTGGGCCACTTGGCTCCCCTCTGGTCTGCTGAGTGCTGCAGTTCCCTCACTGCTGCGTCCAGGGCCCAGGTGACATCTGTTGTCAAAGGCCAGTCTGAGTCTGTGGGTAGCCACCTGCTGCTTTGAATGTGGCCTCTCCCTGTGCTCACTTTGGTGACAGCCTCGTCACTTCCTGCCTCAATTCTGTCCCCAAGTCTGGCTCTGATCTGGGGATGTAACTCGGTGTGAGGAACCTGGGTTCAATAACAGGTGAACAAAACAAACTGAATCAGGGCTTTCTGTTCCACATATGGTTAGGGTAAGCTAGGCTATGACATTTGATGGATAAGGTGTTTCTAAATATCTGTCTGTACTTGAACTCACTATGTTGCATATGTTGGCCTTGAGCTCACCGTGATCCTTCTGCCGCAGCCTCCCAAGTGCTGGGATCACAGGCCTGCACCACCATGCCCAGCTTAATTTTTTTTTTTTTTTACAGTGTCTGGCTGTGTCACTAAGTTGCCCAACCTGGCATCTACACGTTTGACTTAAGATATTTTCAACCTGTGATATGCTGTTTAGGTGTGGCTTACGTCGTAAGTCAAGGAGTTTTACCATCGACAGCAGCTATTTCAATGTTTACCTTTTGAGCATTTGCTGGAAATCATTTTTTTTTTCAGTTTATATTTGTACAAATGTGTTTTCCATCTCCTGTGGTGCCAGGAATTGCACCCAGTGCCTTGTGCGTGCTAGGCAGGTCCTCTTACCACAGAGCTGCAGCTTCAGCCCGAATACGTTTTGTAGGGCTTGTACAGTGTTAGCATTTTCCTGTGTGATCAACCGTCATAGCCAGCCTTTCTACTATCTCTAAGTACATTTTCTTATCCATTTCCCTGTTACATATGCAGGTAGTTCTTACGTAGATGCATGGGTTTAAGAAAAAAATACATTCTTTTGAGAGTGCCTGGTGTGTGTTGTTACAGGTCCGTCTCACCCACGGAATTAAACACAAGAACATTGTGACTTTTCACGAGTGGTACGAGACCAGCAACCACCTCTGGCTGGTCGTGGAGCTCTGCACAGGTGAGCATGCAGGAGGCAGTGTGGGGAGAGAGGGCAGCAAAGCCTGTGGCCTGCGGGCCGCAGCTGCAGAGCCCTCGGCTGGCAGCGAGTCACGTTACCCAGCAGCCGAGTCAGGTAGCAGCTGTTGTAAACTAAATCCTCAATATTCAGGTTTAAGTACTGCGGCACTCTGCCGTGAACAGTGGGTTTGGGTTGCAGTTTGGGCACTTGGTCTCTAAACGCTCGCAGTCACTGATGGTGGGTGCAGACTTTCCTTTTATTTTCTATGGCAACTGTAAATAGCATCTGTATCATTCCCTGTGTTGACTTCAAAATCTGTCGCTTGGTAGGTACTGGAGAAAGGTAAAATAGGGTGCCGTGCAAAGGGAAGAATTACGTAACTGCAGTTCGGGATGATGCTCGGATGTAACGATGTAGGAAATATTTTAATATGATTAATTTGTCAAATGTTTCCCTGTAAAAGAAACATCTCAAGCCAACCAGCTGTTATTTAGCTGGTAAATTTGTAAAATGATCTTGGTTTCTGTATAAACGATATTTTGTGCTTTGTAAAAGCATAATATGCAAAGGACACAGATGGACCAACAAATGCCACCACCTTGCAGCAGTCAGAGAGCCTGGTGACAGATGTCGCCTCACGCCCTTTCCTAGGACTGTGTGCAGGGGGGAAGGTGACCGAATCTCTAGGTAATGTGCGCTTTGGTCTCAACACCTTGCAGATGTGACAGGAAATAAACATAACAAGTATCCCTGGGTACAGTTCTCGTCATACGTTGAGACTAACGAGACATCCGTAAGTCTTGATGTGTTTAATTATTTGCTGTATGTATTTCACCTGTTGGCATTTAAGTTAATAAACTTAATTATAAGTTGTTTGGACTCATGACTGGTTTGCGTCTTGTCTTTTGAATCAGTGGAAGGGAAGCATGTCTGGGACACAGTGTCCTGGTGTGAAAACAGCGTCCTGCTGTTTCCGACGCCGGCTGGGTGGGAGCTGTGCCTGCGTCTGATGCTTCCTCACCCTCCGGAGTAGACGGACAGAGCCCTAAACGTGCTTTCCTTCCGCCATCACAGTGATGGATTCCACCAGCTGGCTGGGACTAGGCTACTGTTAGCACCTTGACCTTTAACGTTCTCCGACCTACTTGGTGGCGCTGAGCCTGCCCTTGGCCTTTCTCCTCCTGGGAGGTGAGCAGAGAGCGGAGTCTGTGTCCTGTGCGGGGCTGCCGTCCTTTGCAGCGTGACCTGGATCTGCGCGTGCGTCATGAGTGAAGCTAGCGCTGGGGTCAGCATGCGGCGCTCCTTGTGCAGCTCTGCGCTGCCTGATCAACCCCTCGCTCCCTCCTCTCACTCACCTGTAACTGTCTCCTGGTGGAGCGGGCAGTGGCTGGTGGTGGGCACAGACCTGGCCCGCTTTGCCCATACATGTGTTTCCTCTGCCACCCTGTTGGGCTCGCTGTCCCGTTCACGTTCCATGCTCACGTCAGCCAGTGTCGACTGCTCAGACACCCTGTGATGTGGGTGGGTTTAGTGTGATTTTCATCAACTCTTTGCAGGTGGGTCTCTAGAAACAGTGATTGCCCAGGACGAAAACCTCCCAGAAGATGTTGTGAGAGAATTTGGGGTCGACCTGCTCGCTGGGTTGTGTCATCTTCACAAGCTTGGCGTGCTTTTTTGTGACATTTCTCCTGCGAAGGTAATCTGTGAATTGTGGTTTCTTTAACTGCTTGTGGGGTAGGCCAGATAGCTCAGCGGACTAAAGTGCCTGCTTAGGCAGAGCGCAGAGGCTGGGGTTCAATCCGTGGTGTGCAGTGCTGCCCACCCCCCCAGGGCACGCTGAGACAGACTGACACTGGGCGAGGTGGTGTGGGCCTGTAATCCCAGCACTCAGGAGGCTGGAAACAGGAGAATCACTCTGAGTGGGTCTACATAGTGAGACCCTGAAGACCCTGTACCAAATGCATAACAACAATAACAACAACAACAAAACTTTCTCAGAGGTGCTGTGTGCATGCGTGTGTGTGTGTGTGTGTGTGTGTGTAATGTCAGGTAAATACTCTGCCACTGAGCCGCACCCCAGACCCAGTTTGTTGTAAGTGAAAGGGAGGGAGTGTGTGGTGCTGTGCTGTGTTGCAGCTGCCCGCTCTGTGACTCAGGAAGTGAAGTCCCTCCTCCTCCTCGTGGGCTGAGTTCGCTGCTGCCATGATGTGTGGCCAGTGATGAACCCTTTCGTCCGTAGGAATCCGAGGGCTTGAGTCATGGTGCACATTCACGAGCCTTGGTTTGGCTTGCCAAGGGCATCCTTGGTGGTATGTGCGTGACTCCTGGTATCACGGGTCAGCAGTGTTCAGTAAGCTTAATTAACTAGCGTGCTTCTTGTGTGCTGGTGAATGAACCTGAAATTGGAAGCTCTTGGGGTTTTCCCTGGTCAAGACTGACTCTTCACGTCTCGGCCAAGTTGTGGAGTGTAAAATGCCCGCTGGCGTCTCCCTCCAGCTGTGGTTTGCCAGTAGCTGTGAAATTGTGGGCTTTGTCACCGGCGTGACTTTGCATGCTGGAATCATGTGCAGGCAGAGGTGGGTTGTGTTCTGTCGCCACAGCTGTGCCCTCGGGGTGAGGGCTGCGGGGGGGGGGGGGGTGTCTTGCACGGTGGATGAATGGCCAGGACACAGACCGCGGGGCCCCAGGGCCCCCACAGCTGCGGTGCTGCCCAGGGCTTGCCGGCACTGCGGACTTGCCACGTTGGAGGCTGCACCAGTAGTGCCTGGTGGACCGGTCTCTGTTGAGGCCACAGGGGGTTCCGATGCCCAGCGCTCAAGACACCCTCAGTGCGCTCTGTGACTGGAAGTTGAGGGTTAGTGTCAAACTTCATTTGAAAATGGGAGAGCCCACGTGACCCACAGCTGTGGTACTTCCTGGCATGTGTCAGCAGCCAGCAGATGACTTCTGGGCCCAAATGGTGTTGCTAGCCGTGGCACCTGACACGTGTCAGTGGCGGTTGTGAGCCTTTTCCCTGTGTGACTGCAGTTCATCCCGAGGTGTTAAGTAGTGTTCGCCCCCTTCCAGAGGCCTTTACAGGTTGCCACGGACAGATGTGTGCACTAAATCAGACTTGTCTCTGAGAGCCTGTGTCCAAATCCTCGCAGATACTTTTGGAAGGGCCCGGGACGCTGAAGTTTAGCAATTTTTGCCTGGCGAAAGTGGAAGGTGAGAACCTGGAAGACTTCTTCGCTTTGGTGGCAGAAGAGGAAGGAGGAGGCGACAGTGGCGAAAGCATAAAAATGAATATGAAAAACAGAGTCAAAGGTACGTACGTGGACCGGGAGCTGCGGGTCAGTGCTCCCGTCCTGGGCCACCACGTCTCGCGTGTTGGAGATGACGCCGGCCTTCTTGTTGCCCTGATAGTGTACTGAAAGTCATGGTAACCCCACGTTTTGGCAGAGGTGTAACTGTTCACACCCCTGGACACCCGTGGTGCTGGATGTGAGAAGCCACCGCACATCCCGTGGCCTGTGTCATGCCCTTTGCCCATTACTGACACTTGTGAGGGCCCTGCCTGGCACTCACTGGAGCAGTGTGGCAAAGCCGTGGCACAGGTGCCACAGCGGGCTCTTGCTTGTCATTGTAAGCTCCGGAAGGTCCCCGTCACTGCACTGGAGGCCTAGTGGGTAGCTTAGGGATGCCCTCTGGGTACTTCAAGAATGAGCTGGGGCTGGGGTGCGAACGTGATTGCAAATGTAAGAACAGTGTGGTCCTTGCTTTTGGCGAAGCAGTAGAGACCTTTCCTCCTCGAATCCCTGAGGTCCTAGGATACCAACATAGTTAGGCCAGGGGCGCTGAGGCCAGGTACAGAATGGGCACTGCCAGTGAGGGCAGCATCCTTGGCCCCGGTGGCCGTGTGTCCAGGGACGAGAGAAGTGTAGGGCAGAAGGGGCAGTAGGTGAACTGTGGCACCAAGGCTGGGAAGAAGGAGAGTGACTTTCCGGCCAGCCTTGTGGATGGTGAGATTTCTTGGGTCACTAGCAGCATCCTGTAGGGGACCGGCGTCCTCCAGGGTGACTGGCTCGGGCGGCGTTAGTGGAGCACTGAGTTGTGACCTACTCCAGCTGGGACTTCGTGGCCAGCGGTGCAGCTGAGGTGGGAGGACCCCGCGTTGCGGGGCAGCAGATCGGAGGTAAGCAGCAGAGCTCACAGGCGTTTCTGCTCTGGCTCACATCTAATGTCCCCACGAAGCCTTATGCACTCATAGGTGGGGCTTTTGGGAGGTGGCTGCATCTAGGGCATGTGACATTGGGATGGAGTGTATGTGGACTAGATCGGGTCCACTGCCTGACTTAGCGTTGTTCTGGATGTGAATAATGGCAAGGGCCATCCTGGATGACACTGTCCCACGCACACTCCTTCATGTCCCCATGATAGAGAGATAAGCAAAACCCCTCTGCTTCCCTGTGGCCTTTCAGGATTTACAGTGGGATCGTGGTGCCTAAGGAGGCCTGCAGGGAGCTAGGGGCTCCCACTGCATGTGGAGGAAACCTGGGTGTCACTCAGGTGGTGCCCAGCCATGGAGCCTGAGACAGTGGTGGGAAGGGGGCCGAGGAGCAGAGAGAGCAAGTCCCCGAGTCCTGCGTGTGGGTGGCACTGCAAGGAAGTGCTACGGGGTGCCGGGTCTGGGGTGTGCTCAGACATGGCCCTTGCCTGTCCAGCACAAGGTCCTGAATTCAACTCCCAGTACCAAAAAGAAATAAATACATAAATAAAAGGTGACTGGGGCCCACATCTACTTCCGCTTCTTACTGTGCCTGGAGAGGAGTGTCTACACTTCAGTGGCTGCCCTGCACATGGGGGTGGGCTGCATCATGGGTCTCAGTGCGGAGGGCTGGAAGTCCTCAGTGGAGGAAGCATTTCCGAGGCTGGTGTGGGCTGCATGGTTGACAGGAAGGGGCAGTGTGGGCTGCTGTGGTGGGCTGCACCTCCGCCTGCAGGCCTGTGTCTGGTTCTGGATGTGGTCGTCCCTGGTGGCCTCTCGCTCTTGTGGCTGCGTAAGCCAGCCTCGTTGGTGACTCTAGGTGGGGAAACCACTGCTGCCTTGACCCTGACACTGTGCCTGGCTGCACTGCTGATGTCTGGGAGTGGGGATGCTGAGGCTGGCCAGGTGGCCTCTCTGAGCCCCTCCAGAGGGCATGGTACTGGCGCTTGAACCCAGGGCCGGATGCATTCTGGGCCAGTGCTCTCCCTCCGAGCCATGTGCCAGCCCTTGGTGTCTGTCACAGTCTTCCGTTGTGCTCACTCACTTGACGTGTACATGCGGTGTTGGTCATGTGCTCTTGTCTGTGGTTTCTCTGCTCCTCAGTCCTGCTGGGTGCTGCGAGCTTGGCTGTGAGCGGACAGGCGGATGCCTCCTCGTGAGCTCAGGTTCTCGTCAGGAAGAGAGTCTGCACTCGCCTCCAGCATGCCCTGCTGCAGCCGCCGTGAGGGGCAGGAGCATGTGGGCTCTCGGCTCCTGGAATGGCAGCCAGGCCTCTGCGCTGTAGGCTTGGCTGCTGCTCTGGCTCTCACGGGCCCTGGCGGTGAGGATTGTGGGGAGGTCGCTGGTGCACTTGTGTCTCCAGATGCGAGGGACCGCTCACTTTGTGGAATGGGTGTTCTCCTTGGGGGTAGGGAGTTTGTAGGTAGGGGTAAGAAGGCCTTTGGTTTTGGCGGGGTACAGCAGCTGCCTGGGTGCCCGCAGGTGTCTCCCTTCCAGCTCTGAAGTGTGTGGCTTCCGAGTAAGGCAAAGTCCTGTATGAAGGGTGTGTGACACACATGCATGCCCACCTTGCACATGCCACTGGCCCGAGTGCCTGGTGGGCTGTGTGGCGGGGTGGCATCCAGCCCCTGCCACAACCACTGACATTGACAAGTGAGCAAATCACTTGAAGATGGCCCTGTGGTGCATCCCTTCCTGTGCTTTCGAGATGGCCTCTGTGTGCGTGGCCCAGAGGGCTGCAGGACTGGGCCCTGTGCTTCCTTTTTGGTGGACTTGGGGCTTGAGGCATAGATAGATCTTTGTTGGTAAGCCAGTGGGATCTCAGTTAATAGTTTGATGAAAGTTCTTTTTGTTTGGGTATTTTAATTGTGAGTTGATTTCATATTTATAGATATATATGCATAACAGCGTGTGCCATACTGTTCATGAAGGTGGATTTTCAAAGTCTGTTCATCTGTGTGTATTCTTTGTAAAATATAATCTTAAGATTAAAAAAACATTTTAAAGATGCAAAATGGTTGTGTTTGAGTTAATTTTCTCATTCCTGACATGAATGCCTGACATCCACAAGTTAAAGGAGGGATGGTTTGTTGTAGCTCACAGTGTGTAGAGGTTTCAGTCCGTAGATAGCTGGCTCCACAGCAGTGAGGGTTGGCAGAGGGGCATTGCAGAGGAGAAGCAGCCCATGGCAGGGCAGGCAGGGGCTGGCAGCAGGGAACCTTCTGGACTTACCCACCAGGATAAGGTGTGTGGGATGGTGTCACCCAGTGTGGCCCGTGCCATTATCCACACCCAGAGCTATGCTAAGCCAGGCAGTGGACCCGACCTAGTACCACACACCCTTGATCCCAGCAACACAGGCCCTAGATCAGCCACCTCCCAAATGCCCCACCTGCGTGCATAAGGCTTTGTGGGGACGCTAGATGTGAGCCGCAGCAGCGTGTGGGATTTTATCCGTATGTACATTTTCTTCCAGTCTTGGTTCATCTCCCCATGTGTTTCTCAGTAGGCTTGTGGGGTGTGATACAGATGCCTAACCGTTGTTCTGTGCACTTTGATTTTAGGCTCTCTTGTGTATATGGCACCAGAAATCATGAGGGGCGCGGACTTCTCTGTTACCACTGACCTCTGGTCGTTAGGCTGTCTGCTCTATGAAATGTTTTCAGGTGATTACCTTTACCTTCAGTGTAAGATCAAAGCTAGCAGAAACAAACAGTAGTGTCAAAAAGGTTATGTTGGCCCAGGGGAGATGGCTCAGTAGAATAAGTGCTTGCCTGGCAAGTGCAGGGTCCTGAGTTCAGTCCCTGGTACTGGAAAAAAAAAAAAAAGCTTATGCCTGTAGTTTACAAATATTTAGCTTATGTCAAAAGTCTACTTTTATTAAATTTTTGTATATACTCATTTTGGCTAAATTGCTTGTTGTAGTGGTATATGTAGGTTTGCAAGAGCTTTTAGACAGAAGGTAATTTTTCATGATATCTGGAATATTGACATGTGCCTAATTATTAAAAATTGGGTTATTCATAGAAATTCTTCAAAAGATCATCACATATGAATTATTGGAATGTGTTGAGTAGCACATGACGCCTTGGATTATGGTAGTGGTCATGTCTTGTGAGTTTGTGTGTCAGAGTAAGAACCTTTGAATTGGAGAAATATAAAAAATTTATAAAGCTGGCTGTGGTGCCGCATACCTGCGATCCCAGCACTCTGGAGGCTGAAGCAGGAGGATCGCTGTGAGCTCAAGGCCAGCCTGGGCTACACAGTGAGCTCAAGGCCAGCCTGGGCTGCATGGTGGAAACTGTCTCAGAAAGGAAAAAAAAAAAAAAAAAAAAAATCAGTCAATCAGTCAGTCAGTCGATATGTAGAGTCTCATGTATATTTTAGGCATTCAAAGATTGTAGTGACTACTTTTTCCTGTAAGTTGTGTAACTCTGAAATATCTGTAGCTAAGTTCAGAAATACTGGTGATAGTATATTTTGTAATTTTGCAAGTTAATGTGATTTCAGGAAAACCTCCATTCTTCTCAGAAAGTATTCCAGAATTAGTAGAAAAGATTTTACATGAAGATCCGCTGCCACCTGTTCCAAAAGGTAAGCTTTTTTGTAATAAGTTATTTTATACCTTTATGGATTGAAACTGTGCTTGACTCAAAAATCTGTTTTAATGATTCATACCTTCTAAAAGTTGTATTTTATGTTATGTTTAGTCCAAAATTGATACTTTTTTCTTGCTATTTTTCTGATACTGAAATTGAAAGCGAAGTATCAATGTTTTCTTTCACTTATTATTA